GCCTCCTGGTAGCTGGGACTACAGGCATGCGCCACCATGCCTGGCTAATTTTTTCTATATATTTTTAGTTGTCCAATTAATTTCTTTCTAATTTTAGTAGAGATGGGGTCTCGCTCTTGCTCAGGCTGGTTTCGAACTCCTGAGCTCAAACAATCCACCCGCCTCAGCCTTCCAGAGAGCTAGGATCCACCTTTTTCTTGATGATTAATCTACTAGTTTGAGTCTATTCCTCATGAATTGGGGCTGTGACACAGGATAGGGGACATTGATTTTAGTATCAGAGAGTCATTATTTTAAGGAATGATAGGAACCTTTGGGATTGAAGAGAAGAAAAAGGTTTTGTTATTGCTGCTAATTTGTTGTTTTTAATAAGGCCATTGAAAACTTGGTAGATTATTATATTTAAACTGTTGAAGAGTACTGATATTGGAGAGTTGATACTTGTTTTTTAATTGGTGAAAGTAGAAAAACAAAAGTAAAAAACTGACACTTGATCATGTAGTAAACTTTAATATGGAGAATACATATAAAGAATTTTTATTTTTGAAATACTTTTAATTTAACAGACTAGAATGTCCCTTTTCAAAGTAATTTTAAGTATTTGCATAAAGAAACATCAAATATACATTAATTTTTATTGAACAGTAGAATAATGTTTATCCTAACTTTTAACCATCAACTTGAAGGAAAGAAGTCTAAAAATGAATTTTGAAACATTAAAAGAAGTGCCTCTGAAAATAATACACATAATTCTTTCCTAATCTGGGAGTAGTAAAATATTGTAAAATCTGAGAACACATAGTAGCTTTGGTACTATCTAATGAGTCTCCAGGCCCTCTTCCAAGTTTCACAATCACACTTGCATTTATGGCTTAGAAGGAGTGAGGCATTGTGGCACTGGCCTGTCCTCTTTCAAAGAGCAGCTAAAGGGGCATAAAATGTTGCATCCTTAGAAAGGCACTTGCCAACTACTGACAATTCACCTGGGGGGGCCAATCACCTTGATTTTGCCCAGCTGGCTTACTAGACCATTGCTGGCAAGTAAAGCATTGTGGGGCTTGCATTCTGAAATTCAACTTCACCTGTCTTAGTATCCACGAAGCTTCAAGTTATTTTGCTTCAGAATTACTACTAAGAAGCCTAGCTGTAATCTGAAAGTGAAGCGAGATTTAGGTTAGTTTGCATGACTATTAGAGAATGGGAGCAGGTGAACCATTGGATGGGATGGGGTTAAATCTGTGATACTGAGCTGCTGAGGGTACTTGCTGTATTATCTCCAACTGCCTGTAGTGTATTTTTAGGTATGGGTGAGAGTAACTGCTCTTGGAACAGAAAAGCCCTGCTGCACCGAGACACAATGCTGGCGGCTGCAGCAGTGTACAGAGGTAAGGAAGCTGTGACCCCTCCCTTCCACCCGAGCCTCACTGAGGAATCTGTGCCGTGTCATGTTGATTCCCTTAACCTTCCCCTTAACGGGAGTCCTTTCCCATTAAGGCTCCATCAGACTTCATGTCCTTCCTCTCAAAACACAGATCTTGTAGCTCTATCTTTTTTCAGACAGCATTTCTTATTTCCTTACTATTCAGCCTCTTGGTATTAAGAATTTTTCATGTAAAGGGTTGTCAGATTCCTGCAAGTATCCTAGTACCTATTTCTCTTTGGAGGACATGAATTTTTTTGAGCAGATTTTTTTTTCTACTTGCATTTTTTCAGACTTTATTATTGTTTGTCTTTATAGAAATGTACAGAAATGAAGATGGTTCGGTACCTGCCACGTATCAGATTTATTACATGATAGGATGGAAATATCATGATTCACAGGTAACATTATTAAGACAGATCATTTTTCTTAGTGGGTTCATGTTTCTGTGTATTTTTTTTTTTTATTATTGTTTATTAACTTAGGGTGAGGGGTTTTCTTTTCTTTTTAATTTTTTTTCAGAGACAGGCTGGAGTGGGTTGGTGTAATCAGAACTCACTGCAACCTCGAATGCCCGGGCTCAAGCAATCCTCCCACCTCAGTCTCCCAAGTAGCTCGGACTATAGGAGCAGCATCATGCCCAGCGAATTTTTTAAAATTTTTTGTAGAGATGGGATCTCACTATGTTGCTTAGGCTGGTCTTAAACTATTAACCTCAAGCAATCCTCCCACTTGACCTCTTAAAGTGCTAGGTTTATAGGCACGAGCCACTGCACCTACCCAGTTTTTTTTAAAAAATATAGGACAACATTAAGGGGTTTAATCAGGGCTGTGTGTATCTATATATTTCTAA